CCACCAGCTCGCCTGCGCAATCACTACATTATCACGAAGCAATGCTTCGCTCGCTGTTTCTTCTTTGCCACAGAGGTAAAAGGTTGAACGTTCATGGCTTTTGGTGTGCACTAAGTACAAGGAACGCAAAAAGTGATTGGAACAAACCGACGGAAGCGAAAGAAGATGGATAAAGGCAAGCGCGCACATCTGGTTTCGATCTAAAACCAGTTCCCCGCCTCCAAATTGTCGCGCGCGCCCGGCATACAGGGTGGAGGTAGCGCCCCTGGCGGCAGATTTTCTAAAGCGGCCGCGGCAATGCATGGGCGAACCGGCGCGCTCGACACACTCAACTCTCTAGCCACCATACAGACAGATAACGCGCGAAACGCGATCGCTATCGCGATAGGTTGTCAGTCGGATGACGTTTTACCAGCGGCAGCTAATCGGGATGCTCTATTTCCGCGCGCATTTTGTTTTCTTGCGCTCCCCAGGTCGCTCTTCCCTCTCTCTTTGTTGACGTCTTTTCGTTGACGGTGAGGACTCGTCAAATAGATCTCTTGGCGAATATGTGCTGCCACCTAGACATGCGCAAGGCCTCTCCCACCCGTTCCACATCCAAAACGTCAGCTACATCCTGTTCACCCATTGAGGCGCTGTGACCTAGATACGGCTTCCCCAAACTCGCCTTTGTCCCCATCGTGCGTAATCTTCCGCCCCGAAGTCGACACAACGAATCCATCTTCCCTCTTTGCTCGGCCAGAAGGAAGGGGTCCATATCACAAGAGCGAATGACATTTTAGCGAACAGCGACATTTGAGCGAATGAACGTTTTAGCGAATAACGGGGGCGCGCGTTAACCCATTCGTCGCGCTGCGCTTTACGCCGCTTCGCGGCGACAGTCTGCGGCAGCTCATTACAAAAATATGAACCCACTTGGCCCACCCGAAAACGCCGCTTCGCGGCGTCCGACTGTTCGCTAAAGTGTCGTTCGGTGAAACGTGGGCGTTCGCTAAAACGTCATTCGATCAAGTGAGTGCCTCCCTTGGAAAAGGATATGGCCCGCAGCTCACTCGCAAGGCGCAAATCATGGGAATAAATTTGCCGCGCCGTTGTTCGTGCTCTCGAGAATCTGGAAGAGAGCTGCCGGTCTCCGAAAACGAACGCTTGGTGCCAGCAACATACACGGTGAAGTCCGCAGTTTCCAGTTGTAGAGCACTTGCGCCTTCTCGGCCGCTTAAAGCACTGGAGATGCGCGATTGTATCTCGTCTCTTTTGTCAACTACGAGCAGACTAGACTAGATGTTGACGTGACATTCGGTCGAGGCGTTGAACCAGCAGCGCGTTAGTCCTAAAATCTGTTCTAACTCGATCCGTGTTGACGGATCCTCCCATCGTCACGTCTAAATGCAAGACATGCCCTCATTCAAGAAATAAAATGTTACGTACCATGTGTCCCGGGGGTAATCCATACGACATTTAATTTAGTTCTACATCAAATAAAAAAAAAAAAAAAAATCGAATCGACGAGAGCGTCGGTTACCCAGAACGTTGGTCACCGCAGCCATCGCCCTGAGATAAAAAAAAAAAAAAATTGGTTTGCTCTTTATGTTTATACAGCCTTGAGGGAGATGCGCCTCAACGGGTAATCGGTCTCTTAGCTGTAGATGAAAATTTTAACCTGGGGTTTTTAATGTGTATCACGCAGTAGTGATCACACGAACGCGTGCTGGCACGGTGACTCATCCAGATCGAAACGGGCGGGGGCGGCGGGGATCGAACCCAGGAGGTTCCCAGCGCAAGCTTTCGCTCTACGCTCCGAGCTGAAACGCGTTAGCCCACTCGGCCACTTCCTCCTTTTTTTTTTTTTTTTGAACTTTTTATCAAAAGTATTTGTTATTTACATGCTTTAAAAAGACTTGTATTCTTTCTATTTTTTTTGGGGGGGGGGGGGGGTGGGGGGGGGGGGCTTTACGAAACAGTTTTTGTGCGTGACAAGAAATGCAGTACACAATCTTTGGTGTCAGTTATACAAATCAGTAAACAAGAAAGCCGCTGCGGGCGTGATGCCCGCAGCGGCTTTCTTGTCTACATCCTATATAAAAACCCGGGCCGGGCCCACTCGGCCACTTCCTCCCTTATCGCCCCGAGATTGACGAGGGGCAAAAGTTAGACTAGTAACCTGACATTCGAGAAGGTCGTGTGGGCATCCCCTTCCGCCCTTCCATTCAGCAGGGCGATAGGGCGTACGGTCTGCAGGCATGGAGCGCCTAGGCCTTTCCCGTGAACGAGCTCGGCTCCTTGTCCGCTCCATTGGTACGGCCGTAGTGGTTCCTGTGACTGCTTACGGGAATCCTCGGCGCGTAGTTGGAATTCTTTCTTTCCTTTCACTACTTGGAATCGGAACGCGCCCGAAGTCGAAGAGTATTTAGAAAAATCTCCGTCGCTTCTCGCGGCGAAATTCGAGCGACCGAGCGACGCGGACGGACATACCGACTGCAAAAAAGTGCGGAAGACTGCTAGAAAGCTGTTTCCGAATTCCTTCGTAACTTACGCAAAACTCGCGATCATTTCGCCTCGTGAATACTCATTTCTTACGTTTTTTTCGTACGCACATTTGTCGTCGTAAGATAGCTTTATAAATCTGGTCTTTGTTTTGATTACATAATATTGTGGTGCAATAAATATACAACAAAAAATATGTTGGCAACTTTCTCCTAATTGTGTGGGAAGTAAAAGGAGCCTTCAAAAAATCCACCTGGATTCAATCCATACGGCTCGGGCTTGCTAGCCGGTTGTTGTGCGTGTGGGTGTAACGGTGCACCTGGCAACACCCTCGCCTCGCCCGTCGATTCCTTTGGGAGAGGAGGATTCGCGTGATGGGAGTACGAGTACGCTGCCTGAGGCTCGTCGGGGTGTCTCCGGTCGAAGGGGGGTGTGTAAGGGCGCGCGATACACCCACGTACACCCTTTTTTTTAGAGTGGTGCAGAAAGACTACGGTTCCCACGTTGCATTCCAACAGCGGTGGCGTGGCGAAACTGGCTGGTGAGATCGGTCTATACACCCTTTCCGAAATTCAGTGCCATCTGGTGGTTCGTAAAGCAGTTAAGGTTTTGTCATATCAATGGCGGAAATTAACTTGTATCGGCACCGTCAGTTTTGCAAGTTAACGGCACGCGAGGAATTGTTCACTGTGAGTTGATTCGCGATCACTTTCAATTCGATGGTGACCAAGAACCTGCATTCAGAACAAAGCTCCAACCCATTCAGATGTCTCAAGAAAATTCTATACGCCAAAGTGCTTTAAAGACGATTGTGTGCTGCCCACAGATTGACTGAAGCTGAATTATTAGAAATAAACGCTTACGTAGCTCTTGTGTTCCATTCTTACGTCGCGTCGTACTGACCCCTGAATGTACTGGCCTCGCATAATCCGCTTAGGAGCGTCTTCAACGTCTTCGTTTATCAGTCACTAGAAGGCCGCCATTGGTATGGCACAGATACCGTTCCACAGATGATGATAGTGATCAAAGTGGCCAGACTGAACTTCGGAAAGGGTCTATTACCAAAGCTCTAAAAATTGCGAAACTTGCCAGCAAGACAGCTGGCCGCCGGCATGTCGATGCTCGTGTGGAAAAGCACGTGCGATTTCAAGCTTGCCAAAGCTATGATCACGTGCACGCTGCACGTGCTTGAACGCATGTGGCACCAGTCGGGGCGCCATGCTTTGGGCCTTTTCCGGAATTCAGTGCCATCTCGTGACTCAAATGGCAGTTTAACTTTTACCGGCACTGAACCAATGGTCTGAATTATTTTATGTTGCACTGTCAGTATCGCAAGCCAACGGTAAACGAGAATGCGCGCTTCACTGGACAGTTCTTTTTCAGTTTATTTCAGTGTCGATGGCGAAAAAGATGCAACCAGTAAGAACGAAGCACCAGTCCACATAGACGCGTTGATAGAGTTCTATACATCAAGGGGAATTGAAGCCGAGTGTGTGCTACTAACAGATCAACTGGGCCCGAGTAACAAATGAACGCTTACGCAGCTCTTGCATCAAATTCCTGCTTGACGTCGCACTAACGCCTAGAATGTAATCATCTGCTTAGGAGCATCTTCAACTTCTTCCTTCCTCACTGAACAGAAGGCCGCCATTAGTATAGCATATATGCCATTTCTCAGATGATGATAGTGATCAAAGTTGCCAGACTGAATTCCGGAAAGGGTCCATTGTTTATTGGCCCCGAGAGTAAAGCCCCTCGATATGTTCTCGTTTGTCTTACACCCTTATCAAGGGGCTTTACCCGAGAGCGGACACGAGCGTCGCTGTGGTCGCCGCGTCCTGATTGGTTGAGGACCTGAGGTGTGCCGTGACGTCAGGGGAAGGACTCAGCTTCGCGATCTCACATCCGGCTCGCTTCCCCCTGCCCCCGTTCCCTGGTTTGTGATCATGCTGGCCTACTGTTCAGTACCGCAATGAAAAGGCCGAAAAACGCCGGTATCATCTGTCACCTCCCGAAGATGTTGAGGTTAAAGATAACACAGACAATCAAACTACGGATGGGAAAGGCACCGTCAACGTCGGTCGCTGTGTGCCGTGAGCACTTCGAGGAGCGAAACTTCGTTTACCCGGTGTACAAGACGCTGCGTAAGACCGGTACCGACGTCCTTCCATACCTTCTCTGAGCTAGTTACCCAAAATATGCACAGCAATATAGTGCCGTAATTTGGAATGATTATACTTTTCCTGACATTCTTTTTTTATTCCAGCCTTGTGTATTAAAAAAAAAAAAAATACACCGTTTAGTTTGAGTTGTTATTTCCAGGTAAAAGAGACACCACTTGGTCCCCAAAAGCGTCTTCAGCCTCCAAACTCCATACAGCTGGGCTCTGACAACAAAAAAAAAACAGGAGCAAAGCAAGTATTCGAGCGGCTGTTTAGTGCAAGATGCGGCCCGAGTCGCAGAAAATGTGGAACCTGTGGAGGGTGGCAGTTTGCGTGAGAAAAGCTTCTGGTATTTTATGTTCAAGGTAATTTGATTTACTTAAAATCTCAATTTTAGAGTCTGTAGAACGTAAATTGTCGAGAAGGGACTAAGAAGAAGCCAGCCACCTTCACTTACGTTTATTGCACATTACTTGAGGGATATTATAAACAAGTCCACAAATACCACCAGTGGAGTTCACTGAAATACTATCCGAATCAAAACAAAGGTCAATTGCGAACAATGCAAACAGATATAAATAAATGACCGGTATATGACTGTGTTTTTTTTTTTTTTCTTCTTTACTTTGCCTCTGTATCTGGGCTCTCTCACTTGTGATTTTCTCTCCATGGCCCAGACTACATTTGACATTTTGCTCGAGCAGCCTGCAGCTTTACTGCTTCGGCGTTTTTGTTTAGAAGCAAAGATAAAAATAAAATAAAAATAATATAGATAACTTGTCATTTAATTCGGATTACCAAGAACATTGATCGTGTAAAATGTAAATCTAACGCGATGTTCCTGCAAGTGTGACCACATTTCTTCAGTTTCATGTACCAGCTGTGATTCATGCGCTTCCTGCCTTGTCACCCATGCCTGAAATGTTTATTGAAGTTTCGCCTGCAGCTACAGGCCATGCCCCAATACAACTACATAAGAAAATTCACACTTCCCAGAAAAAATGCGCATAAAAAAGCAAATAGAAACGAGCGCGCCGACAGCCAACGTCGTCACAGCCTCCACAATGCGAGCGCAGCGAGTGAGGGAAAAATCCTGTCCTCGGCGTGACGTCACCTCGGTTCGCCGTAAGGGGGCGGAACGCAAACTTCTCGGGGCTCATACACCCCTTCAAGAAGTACGCCCTTTTACAGTCGATCTGAAAATACTGCGAAGGGGCGTGCGTAGAAAACATCAAGAAGCTGGCAAGTCTACAACTTGTATAATACTCACTTCCAAGGGACTGTATATAATTGAAAGACTTGCCAGTTTTATGGTGTCTTTTGCGCACGCCACTGTGCAGTATTCTTAGATAGGCCGTAAGAGGGCGTAATTTTCTAAGGGAAAGAAATCGGTCAGCTAGAACGAAAGAGAGAAAACACAGAGGGGGAGAAACAGAGACATACACAACGCCGACTCTCAACTAACGTCACTAGATTATTTCAGTTGTGGAACTCCCGCGGAAGGGGCTATCCCCCTTCACTCACTTCAATCCGCCTGCCGTCGCTCGAAGCGCCATCTACATTTTCGTTTCATAAGTGCGCGTTCCATAGAGCTGCATAGAGCAGAGCCGAAACGCCATCTAGACGCCGTGCTTCGAAACGTACGTATCCCATAAAATACACTGCAGTTACCAAAGCAGCCGCCCGGCGCATCGAGTGACGCCAGGCGAGTCATGGTGAGTGAGGGGGGGGGGGGGGGGGGGAACACTGCTCGTGCATGCAGGGCGTCTATGAGCAGTTGCGTAACTGAGCTAATCTAATACCCAATACACACGGCAGTGTAAGGGTATATTTAGCTTAGGTTCCTTAGCTGAAGGTACCTGTAGTAAACGGAGTTCTTGATCACACGATAATTAAACGGAGCACTTTATGTCGATTGCACTCCTGCTAAACCACGAGAGGATGATGTGATAAACAATTATTCCTCGAAATCGGTTGGACACGCAATTTTTGATTGCTGTGTGCGAAATAACACATATAAAACCTAAAAATTACTTGTGTTTGCTTTTGCGGCACTTTATTTTTTTATCTATATATAAGGGTGCACCTAAATGAGTCTTGCTTTAAAACGTTCGACCCGTGTGGCCACTCTGGCCCTAAATCATCTGCGTTTACGAGTTTCCATCGCGAGGTGGGCGACTTTTTTCTGTTAAGCAGCTCCATTTTTTCGTGAAGTTCTCACTGAAGTAGCTAAACAGTGCCCGGCAGAAACGAACCACATCAGTCACGCCAGTCACGCGATCGAAAGGAATGGACGACGACGAGGATAAAAGGTCCTGGGCGGGAGAGTCGGACGACACGTCTAATACCTCGAAAAAGAGCTCGCAGTGGTCCATCGCGTTCCGGTTCGTAGCAGACATTGTTTTCCACGTTCCGACGCTGCTACCTGCTAGCTGGGGTCTACGTTCCTCGTTAATGTATTATTCCATCACATTTGTTTTCGCAATATATTCCATTTGTTATAATGCGTTCAACAAGATATATTTATATATATCTACGATATTATTTTTAGTTCGTGGGTCTGAGGCTACTCCCTGTAGCTGTAAAGGGAGCTTGGCGAGCTCCGTTTAGCACTGGAGCTCCCTTAGTGAAAGGGACCTTTATGCACTGTGTGATCACGATCTCCAGGTCCCTTTACTACAGGCACCTGTGCTAAAGGTACCTTTACGCTGCCGTGTGATTTGGGTATAATAACGTTGCTCTCAACTGAGGCTTTATACTTCTTCTTTATCACTTTAACTCAAAGATTCACAACTAAAGTAATATCAATAAATCAACCTAAATACTTACAATACACTACTAAATAAAATAAAATAAATTTAATTAAATTTAGTAGATTTATCTAGAATTCACAACTCAGAACAACCTATTGCCTATCTTCAGGAACGTGGATCTGAGGTAGTTTCTGGTGTTTCCATCGACATCCAGGATATGTTCTAGTCAATACCTCACACCAGTCTCATGCCAATTTTGCGACAAACGATCGAAGAACAAGGTGTAACGCCTTTTCAAACCGCAGCAGGTTTCAGCATAGACGCCTTCTTGGAACTGCTCTGGGTATATTTAAACGGCGACCGTGATCTCGTGTGAAGGTCTAATCTACGTCCAAAAAAGTGGGATCTGCGTTGGGTTCTAGGGTGGCGCCACATCTGTGCGATCTGTTCTTGGCAACGTGTGATAGGCATATCTAATATATCCTGAACGATGCCGGAATCGAAGCCAACTTTAGGTAAGTAGAGGATTTACTGATCCTGTGCAGCAAAAACATCAAGAGTAAAAAAAGCGGATGCAGGAGCACTATTATGGGAACCTTCCGAAAATGTTGGCGCAACCTGGTCTTCACTCACGAGCTGCCCGTGGACAAGTTTATAAAGTTCCTGGACCTCTTACTTGAAATTAAGGATGGACATGTGTGCTGGAGGTACGAACCTTCAAGTCAAGGTTTTCCTTCGTTTCCATCTGGCCATTCAATATGCGTCAAGCGAGGTGTTGCCAACACGGCATTCGTTGCAGCGCTACACAAGTCATGCCACCATCAAGCTCACGCTTGGTTTCACAAACAGATTACCCGGCTTTGCGACTCTGAGTATCCAGATGCCCTCCTTTGAGCCGTATGTGAGACTATATGCAGGAAATGTTTTCGGGGATCACCAAATACTGAGCGACAAAGACAGAGTCCCCGAAAGAACTTCGCGTATAGTCCCTAGCTACATCCACGGTGTCACCCACCGACTCAAAAATATCGCTGCACAAAAGAATGTCCTGGTCGTGTGCTCGGCATCGAACGAAAGAAACTCTGTGCCGCAGGATAAATCAGGCCAAGAACCACCAGCCAGCCTGCAACACTGCGCACAGGACTAAAAATGCCACATGCCAGACTGGTGTTATATACCACATCCCAATGTCATGCGGGAGCTACTACATCGGGCAGACGGGACGCTGCATCCATGACAGAGTCAGGGAGCACGCAGCATGGGTGCAGGGCACGGGGGCTGGGCACCTTGCAGCCATAGCCTCCTCTAGAGCCACTAAATGAGCTGCGCTTAAAGTATCGGCACTCTATTTCCTGACACTGTGTGGGCGCCGCCATTTTCGGTGCTTAGCAGGCGCAAATGACTGCCTATCGTCATGATTCTAAAGTGCAAAATTGTCAGCTTTAGATTCGATGTTAGGAAACTCATGTAATATTCCTTTGCTCTGTTGCGAATTGATTAAAGATTTGTGAAACGCGTAAAAGGGTTTCCTGTGATTTTAGATAAAGCCTAAGATAACGGGCAACCATGATTTTAAGCCACAATATGGGCAAGTGTCGTTACTCTGAAGTGTAGCTTATTTAGTGGCACTAGCATCCTCTGTACTGGCAAAGCCTGGCAAATCACCACGAGAAGCGGCCGCTGAAATTAAAAAGGTAGAGCGGCAGGCAACGGATGACAGGAAAGCCTGAAGCCCCTCTATCCTGGAAAAAGTGGCGACATTCATTGTTGTAGAAATGCTCGAGGCACGTGCCGCGCGCCACTTCTGGGAAATTCGTGGTACAGCACTGTAGTACAGCTAAGTGCTGCGATGTGCCGCCATGATCTTCCCAAGGGCTGCACGTTGCACGTGCCTCGTGCATCGACGCACCTAGCGCTACTTTAGAAACACGAAGGGGCTTTAGGAAAGCCACGTGACGGGCGCCCCACTGTGGCGAGATGCCGAAACACACTTCTCTCGAGCGATGGAATGTCCGCTCGTGGTCCTCACGTTCCTCGCGCTACCGCTTGTTTTTTCGTCGGGATGGAAAAACATGTTTCGGGTCGTCGCCGCTGCAAAAGCTGTGCGCTGACGTGCAGGTTCCTCCAGAGCCGTATATGTAGAGAGTTTGGCCATTCGTTGGGAAGTATAGGAGACAAATGAAGCGGCGCCATTGGCCGAAAGCGGGCTGGGCGTGTTCCAGGGCGTCTTCAGAAATTCGAATGTGACCAACCAGAAGCCGGAAATAATACCCTGGCGGTGGTCGCGAGAAACAAACCTGATAACTGCATTGGAGCAACTCTTGATGGCTGAAAATATGGTACACGTGAATCAGGGTGTTGGAACTAAATGTTTTTCGTTCCGTTTTCATTTTCGTTCCGTACAAAAAAGTTCCGTTCCGTTTCCGCTCCGGAACGAATAATAGGGAGTTTTAGAATAGCGCACGCTAAAGCTTTGCGCACGCAAAGAATAGCGTCGTCGCCACTGCGCATGCTCCGAACGCAAACCAGGTTTTGCGCTTTGCGTGCGCAATTTTAGCGCGCGCTATTTCTCGGAAATAGCGTGCGTACGCAAAGAGTCTTTGCGCTTCTCC